TGATCTGGAAACTGAAGAAAACGAACAAGAAACCAGTATGATTTGGGATACTAAAGGAAAAGGGAACCTGTGGACGAAGGAGTAGACACAATAGGCAGGGACCCAGGCGGTATGGTGGTGGAAAAAGAAGACAGCCCTCTGGTAGATAAGAAAGCACAGAAACTGTCTGACATAAGTGACTTCCCGGACAAGGAGAAAACTAGGACTCCAGAGCTAGGCGAAGCATTTCAGAGTAAAGATGATTTGAAGAAAGACAACCCAGAGGAACCCCTCAGGGTTGCAGAGAAGCCTGGCGGAGAACTCTTAAAAGAGGACCACGAGGATATAGAGAAATTCATGGACACAGAATACCAGGGGTCTGTTTCTGAAGAACTTGAAGATGACCTGTCCCACTGGACTCCACATACACCTGCAGAGTCACAGCACAGTGACCGTAGGGAGGACTTGCGTATAATAAGCAGCTTCTTTAAAGAAGAGCAGTTTTTGCAGCGGTTCCAGAAGTACTTCGATGTCCATGAGCTGGAAGCCATGCTACAAGAAATTTCATTAAAGCTGAAGTTAGCACAGCGGGAGAGCCTGCCCTACAATGTGGAAAAAGTCCTAGATAAAGTCTTCCGTGCTTCTGAGTCACAAATTCTGAACGTAGCAGAGAACATGCTCGATACACGTGTGTCCAAGAACAGAGATCTGGGAATGAAGGGAGATAATATATTTGAAGAGGCTGCGGTGCTAGATGACATTCAAGACCTGATCTATTTTGTCAGGTACCAGCACTCTACAGTGGAGGAGACTGCCCCACTGGTAATGGCACCACCCCTAGAGGAGGGCTGGGGCGGACCCATGGAAGGTAAAGTACCTGCCCATGGCCTTGTAGAGCAGGGCTGGAGAAGAAGGTGGGGAAGGGGGTTGCTGAAGTGCCTCATACCTTATCCATAGAGCTCTGTTCACATTTCCAGGGTGCGTGAAGGACAGAGACCACACAAGGGACCACATGTTCCTTCCTGCCTTCTTTTGTTTAGGCTGTAGTATGGAGAAGAATTTCTTACTTTTCCTGGACAGTTGAGACTGATTAGCATTTCAAAATGAAACTTTATAGAAAGCTAAAGAGAAAGATATAAATAAGAAAATGATGTACCAGTTGCACTTGTTCACAAAGTACAGATATCATGTAAAATTCTGAAAAGGCTTCACTGAATACAATTTCTTATTCGAGTTACCTGCACTCTAACCAAGCCTTGCCTGAGTTCCTGCATTCCCCCCAAATCTCGTCTTTTGTGGATGTCCTGTTCTTTCGTGCTTCTTGGCAGCAGTCACCTTCTCCAGTTAAACTAGGGCTCCTGCATCAGATTTATCAAGGGTGGAACCAGTATGAGGAGCCTCCTAACACAGCCCTTGACACATAGAAGTCATTCAGTAAATATTTGCTGAATTGATCTCAAGCCAGTATCCTGATATATACTTTCTGATTCCTGGTTCCGTGCACTATTCTTTGTACCCAGGCTTTTCAAATGGAGGTATTTGAACTGAAGATATAAGGTAGAGTAACAGCGGGACATAAAGCCTCAGAAAAACATATCTCCCCAGGTTGCCAGTTATTCCTGAGAATTAGGCGAGGAAAACACTTTTGCATTTAATCAAAGCAGTTATATTTTGGAAGGGAATAAAAAATTCAAATGAGTTTTCAGGGTAAAATGTGAGGCTGCAAAGAAATTTGTCTTTGCCATGGATCCCATTGGACCATGCCTTGAGTGTCTTAGGGAAAGGGATGGGTGTACTCTTTTGGCTCCTTGAGATACTTTGAGAATATCTGAAAGACACTTCAGCCACCTGCTTCGTGTGGAATGCCCTTCTCTGTACGAGCTCTGTGAGACAAGCGTGACTGTGCATGAAAGAATTCCTGTTATTCTGTATAGAAGAGGCATTTCACATTTTTACTCTTGATTGAAGTTCCCTTCTACACATTTATTTGTGTGGATATGTTGGTTTTCCAAGGGAAGTTAAATTATTGAAGTCCCTACTATACATCTATTTATTTATGTAATACTTTGGAATACAGTTTTCTTTGTAAGTTGTATTATGTAGATTAGTCATCCTTGAAGTGGAATAAAAGAAACTGAAACTCCTATTTCCTGCCCAGCTGGGCTCCATGGGATGCCCGTGCATGGTGGGGGTGTGGGGGAGAATGCTGAGATGGGGTGGGGTTAAGGTGCAGATTGGCTGCACAGGTGGTGTCAAGCTGTGCGAGCCTGGTGCACTCTCCTGTTCCCTCCCTGTAGAGAAGCAACCACCACGTGAAGATCTCCCACAAGAGAGTAAGGAAGACCTTATTATGCAGGGAACTGCAGCGCTCAGCCACTTGGATAAGCCCACGACTGATGACACAGGAGCCTCAGAGGTATCATAGAAGCCAGATACTGAAACAACTTAGACCCAGGTAAAGCCTGCTCATTTTTCTTCACGAAGTAGAGGCACGTCATAGAGAAAACCTTCTAGGAGATTTGTCGTCAAAGGTGGGAAATAGAGGGGAAGGTAATGCAGATACATATGAGGGTTTTTTTTTTTTAAAGAGATCCCAGACCTAATTGAGAGAAAAGCAGGAGTTAAAAAAGTTGGTGTGAGGAAAGTGGAGACAGACTGGTCGGGCTCCCTCACCTCGTATCTGGCTGACCATAACAGCATGTCTGTTGTAAATACGTTAACTGTTCATGTGCGCCGAAGTGTTCCTTGGCTGTCTGACTCACACCCATGTATTACTTGGCTATCTGACTCTAGTATAAAAGACAATGACTCTGGGGCCGGCCTGTGGCTCACTCGGTAGAGTGCGGTGCTGATAACACCAAGGCCACGGGTTCGGATCCCATATAGGGATGGCCGGTTCGCTCACTGGCAAAGAGATCCCAGAGCTAATTGAGAGAAAAGCAGGAGTTAAAACAGGTGGTGTGAGGAGAGTGGAGACAGACTGGTCGGGCTCCCTCACCTCGTATCTGGCTGACCATAACAGCATGTCTGTTGTAAATATGTTAACTGCCCATGTGCGCCGAAGTGTTCCTTGGCTATCTGTCTCACACCCGTGTGTTACTTGGCTATCTGACTCTAGTATAAAAGACAATGGCTCTGATCCATGGGGGGCTGAGCTCGCATCTGAATAAAGCATGTCATCCTTGCCAATGGCTCCCAGGATATTTCCAGTTACCTAGCTCGCAACCTGCATATGAGGGGTCTGTGACCCAGTCTGCACAGGATGGGTTTGAATGGTCTGTGACTCAGTCTAACAGGTGAAATAAAAAAAATAGGAGAGGCCAGAGACCATAACTAACCTAAAAAACAATGACTGGCTATCACTAGCGTGTGTAGATCATTTTAATCTAAAATATTATTCTTAAAAGAACTTATACTCTCAAATAGTTTTTAACCAGACCAACAGCATCAGAAACTCTGGGGATGGGAACCAGCAGTCTGTCTCTAACAAGCCCTTCAGGAAGTCCTTGCCTGATGCTAGTTAGAGTTTGAGAACCACTGCTCTAAAACTCAAGAATTCTGTTTTTTTCCCCCACTTTACCCTCTTTTCCATAAATAGGATACAATGTAGTACAGTTCTTTTTCTGATTTTCTACCTAGACATGGTAAGAACAAAAACAATAACAAAGTTTAAAATACAGGGAAGGGTCCAGGTATCTGTATACTATGTGCTCATAGGAAGCAGTTGGAACTTTGCAGCATGTGACAGTCCGTTGTAGGCTGTCATTTGTCATTGCAGCACGCAGTAAACATCTAGTGGGAGATGAGAAAGTTTTAAAAAAAATTTTTTAAAAACCAATAATGGTATCAACAGCTTTCTAATGCTTGCATAGGTCACATTTTACCAGTGAATCAGAGAACAGCTGATTGTGTTATTTTGTCTGTCCAGTACGGTGGCATGATGACATCGTTACTGTTTGTTGTGTCTTTAGAGGTTCTGGTCTCTGAGCACAGGTGCAGCATTACCCAGTGACACTGCAGGGCTTGGCAGCACTTGGCTGACACCTGCACACGCCCGGCACACACACAAAGTATAGGAGGTCACAGCAGGGAAAGGAATAAACCTAATTTGCAAAGGAATGACATCACAGAGGCCACCCCATGTTCCAGAGGACATTACATTCATATATAATACTCTCTACTTCTAAACTTGTTTAACTCAAAATGTTCTCCTGCTGAAGATGAGCTATGCACATTACGACTTGTTACTCTCTTGCTCAGAAACTTTTAGGATTAGGCAAAATTCTGCTTCCAGAATTAACAAATTCTTTGCCCTATCTTTTAAGTCCCACCACAAAATAACATCAGTAACCTTCAAAGGCAAGTCTTCCTAAATGGGTCTACGTCTTCACAGGCAAGTCTTCCTAAATGGGTCTATGTGCATTGTAGGCACTGAGGTGCTGACTTGATTAGGAAAACTTCACCAGAGGTTTCATAGATCAATAGTGGGTGGAACCTTAGGGTTGGGAGAGACCTTAGAAGCAACTAGTCCTACTCCTCACTAATTGATCAGCACTTTGGACTCCTAGCTGTTTGTAAGACATGCCCCAGGCTCGTATAACACATACTGAAATCCACCCGCCCACCGCCTCCTCCTCACGTGGAGATACTTTCAGGTGTATAAGTATCTACCTGTTTCCCAGAGGCCCGAGCCAGTTCTCTGCCCTGTAAGCATTTCCCTTTGGTCTCTTTAGGCATTTCCCCTCTTCTCTTTTATGCAGCTGCCATTCATTCACTGAGAAGACAATTACTGCATACCTGCCGGGTGCCAGACCCTGTGCTGAGCACGGGTGCATTCTGCCTACAAGTCTGCAAGCCAGGACGCACTCTTTTTCACTCCTTGTTTTTCTGAAGTTTTTACTAATTTGCTTCACCAGCACGAAACAAATGTTTGTTGAATGTGACTGTCTATATGGAGAAAGTTAAAATTCTTGTTTTTCTCAATTCCCATGAGTAAATACTCTTATTGTTCCCATAGTGGTTGTGTTGCCCGGGAGGTGATGGGGGACTGGTAGGGGGTAGAGTGGGTTGGAGATTGTAAAGCTACACAACTATGCCAGTTGTTGGGTTGAGGCAATAGCTACACTAATTGTATGGCTAGGCATTTCATAACTAAAGCCAAAACATTTCATTATTTTAGTTCTACTAAGTTTCCATTTGTATTGTCAGGGCTAGGGCTCAGACCCTTCAAACCCATTGTACGGACTGGGTCATAGACCCCTCACATGCAGGTCCATGCTAGGTAATTGGGAAAGATCCCAGAAGCCATTGGCAGATGACACGAGCTCAGTCCTCAGCAGTAGCAGCAGCAGCTTACACCCGCAGCAGCGTTGGCCTCTCAGGGCATCCCAGGGGCACTGGCAGCAACAGCCTCCAGCAGCAGTAGCGGCCTCCCTCTGGCCCCTCAGGGGCATTCCGGGGGTGGGGGGCCCCATGGATCAGAGCCACTCGTCCTTTATATTTAAGTCCATACCCAGGACACCTGGATGCACATGTGCAATTACATTAGACAATAACCAAGGAATACCTGGGTGCACATGCATATTTTCATCAAATGCTCACCAAGATTCCGAACATTTAAGGGGCCCTGACCACTTTCCTATATTTTCCCAATGGAGATATGTTCATTTTATAATTAAAGGGTATGGAGGCTCTAATGGGGATTCTGAAGTCTTTTCCTCTGTGTACTTGTGTTTAGGAGAAACACTTATTCATGGCACAGTGACAAATACTGCATACTCAGTAAATATTTAAACTGAAGAGAATCCTTATTCTAAAGTGTAAAATAAAATACTTGTTTTTCCCCTCAATTATAGGACTAACAATAGAAGGCACTCCTGTCACTGCTGTTGATGCAAGAAAGCAACTAGAGATGAATACTGAAGAGCCAGCAAGTGTTACACCTTCGGAAAACACAATTCTTTCAATATTTTCATTCATGTTTTATTTAACTAAGAGGGTAAGTTTGACACATACAGTTTCTTACAGACACAGTAGAATGTTGATTATTACAGTTTTTAAGTTGATTTTGAGCATGAGCTGAAGACCTTAAAATGTCTTTATGAAAATGCTACTGATCCTTTGAAGATAGCCCCTGAAATGAGCCATAGGTGTATGGCTTTGATGGGTTCCTAGTTCAGCACAAGAGGAGGATTTGCTGCTTGCCAGGGCTGGGCACACGTGTAAGAAATGGTTCTTCCCCTCAGGGACCTTTCGGTCTAGCTGGGAGATAAAGACAATCACTTGAAACATAATATGATACAGGCAGAAAGAAGTATTTACCTGAAGGTAGAACAGTATATTGAATAAATTGGTTCATTGTGGTGGGACGATGCTGAGACAGGCTTGAAGCAGAGTCAAATGGGAGTTTGACATGTAGTTAGTTGTTGAATAGAAGGGCTGGGGGAGAAAGATGGTGGCAGCATTCAGCCAGACAGGAAATTACATGTTCGGAGAAATGGAGGCCTGAAGATGAGGTTACTTGGGAAGCCAGGGGAACATGGGTGCTTGGTGGTGGTAGTGTGTGGAACCAGAGGGGGATGGTCTGTGAAGGGAGGCAGGGGGACTCGTGCGTGCCATGAAGAGTGGCATTAGGCCACTCATTTTAAGTGGGAAAGGGATTGGTCAGATGTGTTTCTTAGAAAGAGTCATTTATGGCAGAATGCTTAGAAGCCATGAGCCCATCACCCAACTTAACAATAATTCCTTAATATCACCAGATATTTGGCATATCCAAAATCCCTTTTCCTCCTTTCTTCCCCACCTCCATTTTTTTAACTTTGCTAAAATATGCATAACATAAAATTTACTCTCTTAACCATTTTGAAGTGTGCAGCTAAGTGGTATTAAATATATTCATAATATTGGTAACCATCATGCTCTCCTTTTAAAAATTGTTCTTGTTCAAATTAGGATCCTTTTGAGGTCCAGATGTTGTAATAGATTGATATGTATCTTAACTTTATTCAGATATAAATTACATATAATTAAAATGTATCTATTGATATAATTACCCTACACAGGTATTGCTTAAAATTCAGCCCAGAACTGAAGGAGAACTCCTTGCAGATGTCTGAAACTCTTTTCCTTTGTAGTCCCATCTTTCCGGTGCCTTTCCCTGTGTATTTCAGGCACCTTAGTCTCCCCAAACTCTGATTGCCACCTCCACAGTGGTTGCTGTTATCGTTCTATAAAATGCATGGGTTTTGAACCAGGATGATCTGGTTTCCAATCCCAAAGCCATCATTTAGAAGTTTGGCCAAATCACGAAACTTTGAACCTCAGCTTCCTCATCTGAAAAATGTAGATAATACCTACTGCAGTTGTTGTGCAAACTCAATGATTTGACAATGTTAAGTGTGGTGCAGTGCCTGGAATTTCACAGGATCCCATTCTCCACCTGATTCCCACTTGGAGGGCTAGAGGGCAGTGTAAAAACATTGAATACCTGGGGAATTCAGGAGAAAGACCACCAAGACGGGAAAGATGGAGAAAAATCAAACCATTTTTCAATTTTCTCCATGGTTATCGTGGTAGCAGCCGCCTGGATGAAGGTGTGTGCGATCCATGCAGTTAGCATGATGAAATCTTCAGTGACGTAGGCAGTCTCAGAACTCAGAATTTAATAATCCGAATGAATCATCATCAATTGAAAAAGTTAACTGCCTCCAGATGTGGGGAAGATTCCTTTTTATCATATTTCTAGATATGAACAGCACCCTCTTCTAGGCCTGGGGGACACGATGTGGTGTAGGACACATCTGTGATTGGGGGTGACAAGGGAAGACACAGCCATGCATGGTAAGATAGAAGTGCCAGCTCAGTGTTACAGACGCTGATGTGAAAAGGATTGTCAAAAAAGGATTTTGATGGCCCTATATGTACAAGACATTGTGCTAGTAATAAGAGATTCCAAGAGGGATAAAGCATAATTCTGATTTTTGAAAGGCTGAAGAAAAGGTCTTATCAAATATCTGTGAAAACTGGGAAATGTGAAGAATATGGGAAATAGTTTATGTTAAATATCAAATGGATCATGTAGAAAATTACTCGACAGGGCTTAGGGAGTAATGGGGTGCTTGACTTGATAGGGAAAACTGCACCAGAGGTCAGATTCATTGATCAATATTTAGTGAAACCTTATGTAAGGGGTCTTAGAAGGCTACCAGTCCAACTTCTCACTAGTTGCAGGTATTTCTTCTACTCCAGCCCTGACAAGTGATTTTTAGTTCTGTGCATCAGCAGTTCCTGGTAGAGCCACCTACTTTCCAAGGCTACGTACGCACTCCTCTGCTGGCTACTTCATTCTTTTATTGACTCCAAATTTTCTTCCACGTGATTTCTTCTTTAGAATCTAATTCCCTTTTTACACAGTGAGCCTTTAAACATTTGAAGTTATGTCTTAAATTTTTTTAACATTTTATCATGGGACATTTCAAACATGCTAAAGCAGAGAAGCCATGAGCCCATCACCCAACTTAACAATAATTCCTTAATATCACCAGATATTTGGCATATCCAAAATCCCTTTTCCTCCTTTCTTCCCCACCTCCATTTTTTTAACTTTGCTAAAATATGCATAACATAAAATTTACTCTCTTAACCATTTTGAAGTGTGCAGCTAAGTGGTATTAAATATATTCATAATATTGGTAACCATCATGCTCTCCTTTTAAAAATTGTTCTTGTTCAAATTAGGATCCTTTTGAGGTCCAGATGTTGTAATAGATTGATATGTATCTTAACTTTATTCAGATATAAATTACATATAATTAAAATGTATCTATTGATATAATTACCCTACACAGGTATTGCTTAAAATTCAGCCCAGAACTGAAGGAGAACTCCTTGCAGATGTCTGAAACTCTTTTCCTTTGTAGTCCCATCTTTCCGGTGCCTTTCCCTGTGTATTTCAGGCACCTTAGTCTCCCCAAACTCTGATTGCCACCTCCACAGTGGTTGCTGTTATCGTTCTATAAAATGCATGGGTTTTGAACCAGGATGATCTGGTTTCTAATCCCAAAGCCATCATTTAGAAGTTTGGCCAAAACAAGAAACTTTAAACCTCAGCTTCCTCATGTGATGGGATTGATGTATTCTGCCTGCATTTCCCCTCCCTGCACTGAGGTCTAGAAAGTGCCTCCAGGGAGAAAGGTGGGTGGTCGCAGGGCTTGCGTATTTGTTTCCCTTATCTCAGGGATCACAGGTGTGTGCTGCTTGTTCTCTATCTGAAAAAAAGTTGTTTTCATATATTTTATCAAGTTTTCTAGTCACTTTCAGTGGGAGGATTGAAAGTAGTCAGATTCAAATTTAATTTTCTTTGACAAGAATCACGAAACACTTAACATCTGGCTGTTGCTCTTTTATTTATTTTTTCTGATGTCAGTCGTCATTGGTGACATTGACTAGACCTGTCAATATATTACAGGGTGCAAAATGGTGATGGTCTCATTGTATTGTTCCTTCTTCATTTAAAGTCTGGGATACTGCTACAAAGACAAACTATGATCAACTATTTTCTACACTGAGATCTAGTTTGTGTAGTTAAGGCAGGGTAATTTTTTTTTTTTTCTTAATTTAAACTACTTTCAAAACAATGAGTTGTCTTCCTGGCATTATCCAGTGACGCTCAAAGGGCGGTTTTTGTTGTTTTTTTCTCATGTTCATTATGATGTTATGGATTTAAAATTCTTTGGTGTGTTTCAGTCCAATCAAGGATATTGATTATTCTTAGTGATGCTCAATTTCTCTCATCTTTGGCTACTGGGAGCCTCCTCAGCTTGGCTCTTGGGCCCTTTTTTTGTCACCATCTATTGGTCATTGTGACCTTCCTTGCCTCCTAGTATAACAAGATGATCACAGCTCATCTTGTACATTTCCTACCAAGATCTTGAAGGAACTGTTTCTCTAAAGAGCCCTTATTCCTTTTAACGGGAAATGATATTTAGAGACTACATTCTGGTGCTGAGATTGCTTTTTGCTTTTGAGTTGGCCATCATTTCTAGGCCTTTTCAGAGGACAAAGCTAGGAAATATGTGGGGCACTTTATGTGAATATTCATCATAATGTCATATGGTTACTTCCAATCAAAATTCAGGATGCTAGAGAGATTTTTATTTCATCTAACGTTAGTATTTTTTTTCCTCTGATGATGGAAATCCCAGTTTTCAATGACAGCAACATATATTTACCTTATTTTACAATAGTCATACGAGTATTAAAAATACACAGGTTGGGCCGGCCCGGTGGTGCACTCGGTAGAGTGCGGCGCTTGGGAGTGCAGCGGCGCTCCCGCTGAGGGTTCAGATCCCATATAGAGACCGGTCTGCTCACTGGTTGAGCGCGGTGTGGGCGCAACACCAAGGGTTGCGATCCCGTTGCCAGTCGCAGTACGGGCGCAACACCAAGGGTTGCGATCCCGATACCGGTCATGAAAAAAGACAAAAAAGGAAAAAAAAATACATATATCAACACTACCACAAACAGTATGTGACTGAATATATTTTAAAACTGTTTAGCAGTTCCTTTGTCTTTAAGATATATACCATTAGGGTGAGTTTGAAAAATACTCTTTTATGTGGCCTTGCTACCAACTTGATACACAGGTGGTTTCATTTTTCTTTCAAGTTTCAGAGCCTGCTTTTAAAGGTTTTGTTGTTTGTTTGTTTAATAATTATCTAAGATAGTTACAAGATCCAAAGTCAATTTGTAAAACAAGGTGTATTCGGAGAACTCTAGCTTTTGTCCCAGTTCCATTCACTCTATTGTTACCGTTCTCTACAGGTAACTTTTTTAATTAATTTTAAAATAAGCAAATGATTTCCATATCCAGCCATGATAGCTTTACAGCTACTGGCTTTGCCCTCCCAAATGAAACAACTAAAAAGAAAAAAACAGGCAAAATAAATAAAATGACATTATTTAAGACACTGGACATCAGGCAACAAAGGACAGTAATTT